ATGGTCGGCCGACCACACCAAATGCTGACTAGCCAATGGTGTATTTCACCAATGGTCGGTAGCAAGAAGACACGGCCGGTGGCCTTAAGCCAAGGCCGGTGGGGGTCAGGGGTAGCTAACAAACTACTCTCTACCCTCAGGTACAAAAATGCACAAGTCCTTGGTGGAAAACCAAGCATAGAACAAGCAAGTCGAGAGATCCTGAGGCAAGGCGCGCAGGCAAAACCTCCGGGAACTCAAAACAAACATGGACATGGATGATCACTAAGTGTTCAAGCAGTGACGTCCAAGTCTTTGAGGACGGTCAAAAATGGGGTGTCTACACCACAGTAGCATCTTTGACAGCCGATGCATCAGAAGCAACCGATATGTTCTTTATCTTTGGTTGTATTATAAACAACACAATTAGGTCTGACTCTTCCATGCGCGGCCGTTTATTAGTAAGGTTTTCCGAAGAGTCAGCTTTTTGCTCAGCAGGACGCTTCTTCCTCCTGTACTCGGTCACCTGGCTATTCTGTTGATCAACAATCAGCTCCATTTCAGTCGTATCAATCTGAGCCATCTCTTCAACAAGAGTAGATGGAGAAGACTCAGCCCTAGTAACGAGCGGACGGGGTGGAGGTTCAGATTGGTCGGCTTCGGTTTTCCTTCGGGCAGCCATCCTCTCGGTGTTATTTCTCCTAGCCATCTGGGTGATCGACTCCCCAGCCATGTTGTCAGGATATGAGCCGGGTAGGTCCCCTAAGTTGGTGAAAATATCTTCAAACGAGACGTCTGCTCAGCTTGAAGTGGATGGAGGGTTGAGGTCAGCTTCCTCAAAAGACAAATTTAGGGCCACGTCAACCTCCTCCTCTAGTCTATCGAATCTGTCCAAGGTGGACAGATTCGGTTGCTCAGCGACTTCTTCAGCTATTTATTCGTCCGCTGGCTCTGAATCTGAAACTTCAAGACCAATCTGCCTAAGATTCTTAAAGTTCGGGAAGATAAACACCGTCAGCTGCTATTCGCCCCTGGGAATCGGAATGTTATCTGCGCCCGAAAATGTAGCGTAAGTTGGCTTGTATCTCAGAAGTATGTGGGCCACCCTCCATTGCTTCTGGAGATTTGGACGGCTGAAGAACTGGAGTGCGATTTTGATTTGCGCAAGTACAATGTCGTTAGCCGAGATGATAACTTTTTTCAAATTGTTACCTACGTAAATGAAATGGTTAAGTGCATAGAATCTAAGTCGAGTAAATATATAAACAAATACACATGGAAGACTATACGGCCACCTAGTTCGCCTTTTCACCTAGGCACAGGATCTAGGCGATCTTCGCTCTCGTCGAATTCCCAGTTGTCTCGGACAACGACCATGACATCATCAACACACTTGCCAGAGCTGGCAAGCATAGTCACCAAATGATGGTCGGTGTCCTTAGCCCTGAGAAAGTGGTGCCCCTACCGGCCAGAGGATTTGGCCAAGGCATAACAATGCCGAATAGCAGGGATTCCAAGATTGAGCCTAAGGCATCGGTTTAGTTCTACAATTCCCATTATGATTCAGTAAAAATTTACGTTAGGTTGAGAAGGGATTAAACCCCAGTGACGAAGGACGACCCTCAAAAATGGGTGAAGGGGGGAAACGAACTTTGCCCTCAGCAATTGATGGAAGAAGAAAGATGATTGTACTCTCATCTGTCCTCTCCATATCAACTACGCTCTGCTACGAGTGACAGATGGACGTCGTCAGGAATGGAAAAATGATGACGAAAACCAGAAACTCGATCTACAAAAAGAAGGGCTTTCAAATGTTTCGCCATCATAGCCAGTATAGGAAGTATTCTAAACTAGAAAACAAACAAGGAAATAAGAGTCGAAATGGAGAAGAGGAGAACTTACAAGAAGCAGAGAGGGCAATGAGGAATGGGACGAAGTTATAGAGGTCGTGAAATGAATGAAGTATACCGACAGGCAACAAGAAACTTTGTGTATTAAAAAAACATACATTCGAAGGGACAACACGGTTTCAAATCGCATTAAATGAATGAAGTGTACGAAGGGGCGGGAAATTATAATAATTCCTAAAAGGCGCAGACGTTCTGACACTTGTGTTGGAATGAGGGTAATCACCATATTTTTTACTCTCTAAGTTCAAAACCAAACATGCCGACTAACTGACATTAGTAGGATGTTTGGGGGGCTATTGTGGGAGCCGAATATTATTTTTATGTAGAAAAGCCAAGTGAATTTAAA